TTATCTGTATCCTCGTTTGCCACGAGCACAGCAGGGCGAGGGAGAGGCGAGGCGGGTAGACAGTTTGCAGCAAATACCCCAATAAAGAATTTCCTAGTGAACCCGTTGGCTGATAAAACTTTTTCAATATCTACAGTATCCATTTTTAATAAATTGAAATATTTCTGTCCGAGTCAATAGTAAGTACAGCATCGTATTCCAGCAATACCAGGCAGGTGAGGGCCGTCTGCAAAGGGAGTGCGAAGTTAATCTCCGCGCGTACCACGCCAGCATTGCGTACGCTTGTGTGTCCCGTGTTGCCGCTGCGATCTGGAGAAATATCCAAGCAGGCCATGAAAGAAGCGTGTTGAAACATCTGTGGGGTGATCATCATAGACGCGGGGCGCTTATCGGCCCCGGTTGACATGATCAGACTCTGATAATAGGCCTTCTGGAAATTTGGGCTGGTTGAGTGAAAATCTATTGGGCCAATCTTATGCTCTTGCGAATTCACAAAGAATGTTACAGAAGTTGCAGATTTGTGAACGAAAGTAAAACTATTCTTCTTTCTATCTCCATTAAAAACAGTGTTGTCCAGCATTATCAAACACATAAATGTTGGGATGGGCCCGTTGCAAATTGAATTAAGGTGAATATTGGAACTGCCTGGCGGGGATGTGTAAGTTTTAACTTCCACACGTTTGTGGGGAAATTGGGCATTAGCCTGACTGAGAATACGCTCATGGGACAACATCAAAGAGGGAGACACAATCACATTGGTCAGGTGCAAAGTAATATCGGGTACATGCAGTTGTAGACTCGTAGCTCCATCTGCCTCCCACACATAAAATTTTTCTTCGGCGAATGTCAACTTTAGCCTCACATCGATTCCCTGTGGAAGCAGTAGAGGTTGATCAAATAAACCACCCCTCATTTTACCGAAAAGTTGGCACAATTTTCCGAGAGACAAAAGATTCTTCCGCGCCATGAAGCCACTGTTAGCATCCCCAGCTGTCTCAACATGAGCGGGGTCGTCTAGATAGAACATACTCGACTCTAAGTGCGTCTCAGCCGCTTGTTTTGAGAAAGTGAGGAGGGTATTGATATAAGAGTAATACCCAAAATGGTCAATTTTCATTACTAATTTCTCATTCAAGTACAGTTCACAACTCTGAAATAGACTGAAAAGCAAATTGTTGATCGTAGCCACATCCTGTTCCAGCATTGGTTTTCCGCCGTCCTCCACTCTGAAGCACGTGTCGAGGTCCAAGAAGGTTTGATCCAGCCGTCTGAAGAGATTGTTTGTCCCACGCGAGTGAAATTCAGCGACGGTCAGCGGATAAGTTATCGCGCTGAGTGGTTTGTGTTGACTCATCACTTGGCCTAAAATGGCGTTCTGGACTTTTTCCGGGGAAAATATATCCAGCTCCCCCGGGATGACAACAGCTACGGGGGCGGACTCCATTCTTATTTCTCACGAAAAAATGTCTGTCGGGAAAGCACCGCCACTACTGGCGTTGTCGCTCGCTACACCTCGTCCCGTCTGCTTCCGAGCACCACCTTTCTTCTTCTGAGCCGTCTTAGTCGTTCGCTTGGATTTTATAGGCGTTTTCTTCTTCTTCTTGGTACCAGGTTTCACTCGAGGCTTGCTAGCAGGTTTCCGAGGACGCTTCGTCGCACCGCGCCCTCCGAGAGCCGTACGAGCCCGTCTCTTGAGGTTCTGACCAGCCTCCTTCAGCCGGGTGGCCGCGGCATCTCGAACGTACCGAAAAGAGTTGGTGTGACCGGGTTGTGTCAGGTCGCGATAAAACCCAAAGCCCGCGTTGGCTAGTTCCTCGGTCACAGCTCGGCTCCCCTTGGCGATGAGAGGCGTGGCGATGTTGGTGACGTATCTACCGCTGAGCCCGCAACAGAAGGCCCCTCGCCCGTTCTGCCGAATGTAGCTGGCCTGGTACACGGGTCCCACATCGAGCTTATTACTGCCCTCAGGCGGGGCACCCATGCCTACCTGCCTGGAAAAATAGTCCTCATACGCCTGCTGCATTGTGTATACTGACGGACAGCCAGGGTGTGCAAGTGGTATATATCACAAATATTTGACGGGGCGTAGGCAAAGAGATAAGACGGTTTTAATTCTTCTCGCGTATGTCGAGCACAACGATCGACGGGTGCTCTCCGTCGGGGAATGAATATCGTTCACCAGTCTTCGTGCGGAAAGAAATTATGATGCTGGAGATATTTTGCTTTTCTACAGGAAAGTAACAAATCTTATTAAACTGATAATGACCGAATGGGTTAAAAGGCGTAAGGATGCGAAGCAAACGCGATTCCGAATCGCTAACCAGCTGCGGCTTTATAACGTCACAGTAACAAAATATGGGAGAGGGGCTGGACTGGAAAGTGACCCGAACAGGCAAAAATACTTCTACCAACCCCGCCTCATAAGATTTGCCGTCGTCACTGCTGCAAATAACTCGATTCAGTTGTGTGCAAAAGTTTGAAATAGTATTATCACTGTAAAATCGTTTCGAACTATCGGAGCACAAGGTAATGTACATTCTGGAGAGACCGATTTTGCAAACAAAAATCCACCTATAGTAACTCCGTCAACGTGCAAACGTGTACTGATGGATAGGGAACGGTAGCTAAACGTTTTATATTATTCCTACGCCTGAGGCGCCGCCCTCGGAAGCCGCCCCAGGCGCCGCCCCCTAGATGAGGCGGCTTCCCGAAAAATGGGGCGCGTCGCGGCCGGCCCGCCCGCGCGTGGGGCCCCGCAGGTACCGCGCACGCCCTGTCGC